TATGTACCAGACATAGATCATAATTTGTTAAGCATTTCAAGTTTGGATAATAAGGGGTATGAAATACTGTTTGCTAAAGCACAATACACCATCAGGAAAGGTGGTGCCCGAGATGTTAAGCAGGATAATTTATACATATTAGGGAAGCAAAAGAATGGTTGTGCACGAACACTTACAAACACTCCCAAGCATGATAATTGTGTACATTTACTACACAGGAGGTTAGGTCATGCAAGTTTCAGAGTGCTGCAAAAGATGCCAGACCTAGCTGAGGGACTAAACATTAAGAAATGCAATACTTACATAGATTGTGCTGTTTGTAAAGAGTCAAATGTCCAGGGTGTATCCTGTGAGTAAGAAAAGCTCAAGGCAAACAAACAGAGTTTTGCAGTTAGTGCATGCTGATTTAATTGGCCCTATGGTGCCCTCTCTAGGAGGAGCTAGGTATGCACTAGCCATAGTGGATGATTATACTAGATACAGGTTTTGCTATCTGTTAAAAAGCAAGACAGAAGTATTACAACAGTTCAGGCAATGGGTGAACTTTGTAGAGCGAAGATATGCCGTAAAGTATGCCAGCTGCAAACAGACAGGGGAACAGAGTTCATGTCTGACAATTTCCAAAGATGGCTAAGGAACTTAGGCATAAGGCATAGACGTGCAAATCTGTACTCACCAGCAGAAAATGGAGTGGCTAAAAGAAGGAATGGCATATTTGCAAACCATATTGCAAACTCACTGCTAGCAGATGCAGGAATGAGTAGATTGTACTGGGGGGAAGCCATGAAAACAGCCAACTATTTGATAGACAGGGTATGGAGTGTTGCATAAATGAAACTCCATATTATCTGTTATATGGTAAGAAACCTTCATTAGCTCACCTAAGAACACGTGGCAGTTATGCCTGGGTGCATATTCCCAAAGGCACCAGAAGAAAGGGACAGAAAAAGTTCAAGAAACTTAGGTTTGTTGGATATGAGCCAGATTCCAAAGGTTATAGATTCACAGATGGAACAAAAAAGGTAGTAATTTCATAGTCCGCTAGTTTTGCAGAACAGAATAATTGGGACAGGGTGGATACTAACACTGAGGTGTTCATGCCAACATGTAGCACTAGTTCTCAGGAAGGAGAAGCTACACAAAGCCCAATGAAGGGGGAACAGGACAGCAGGTTAGAAACAGAATAGGATAGACCTGAGATAAAGAGAGAGGTCACAGAATCACAGGAACAGACGATACTGAGGAGGTCTGAATGTAGCAATAAAGGTGTACCTCCTGATCGGTTCTCTGCAAGTGGGGTTAGAGTGTGTAACGTTAGGTGTGAATTCCGTAATTACCAAGAGGTGTTGCCGTTGCCTAAGGCAGAACAGGACAAATGGAAGGAAGCTATGGACAGAGAAATGGAGTCTATGAATGTGCATCAGGTTTTTACCCCCATGAGATTACCAGAAGGAGAAAAGGCTGTGGGGTGTAAATGGGTATATAAAAAAAAAGGTTTTACACAACAATGAACCGCAGCACAAGGCACGGTTAGTTGCGCAGGGATTTACGCAGAGAGAAAATGTTCATTATGACTAAGTGTTTGCACCAGCAGTAAGAGGTGAGACCATAAGGCTAGCATTGACTTTAGCAGCTGCACGGTTATACCATATATCATTTTGATATCACCACTGCATATTTAAATGCAGAGTTAGAAGAAGACATAAGTATGGCACAAGCCCCAGGTTATGAAACTAAGCACCCTGGATATGTATATAAATTAAATAAAGCCATATATGGGTTGAAACAGTCAGCAAGAAACTGGAACCAGTGCTTAGATGCTGCTCTCAGAAGGTTAGGATTTAGAAGCAGCAAGGCAGATCCATGTTTATACACTGCAGAGTATAAGGGTGCAGAGTATTTGCTGTTAGCTTTTGTTGATGATCTTTGTTTTATTGCTAAGAATTGCTCCCAGGCTTACTCCTTTGCCAGGCTACTGGAAAAGAAGTTCCAATTAAAAAGCCTAGGAAAAATAAGGAATTACCTAGGTGTGGAGGATACGTGCTAAGCCAAACAAAGAAAATAAAACGGCTGTTAGAAAAGTATGATATGCTAGGATGTAACAGTGTATTAACTCCTATGACACCAAGCTTCCAGAATGATGTAGAAACAGAAAATGACTCAGAATGTATCCAAGAAGTGTACCAATCAGCTATAGGTAGCTTATTGTATTTATCCAGTGGTCAAGGCCAGCTATAACCAGTGCGGTTAGCATTTTGAGTCGGCACACTTCAGCACCCAAACAACAACACTGGCCGGGGATTAAAAGAATATTAAGGTATTTAAAAGGAACAATGGACCTAGGATTGAGGATAAGGCCATCTGGTGACTTATCATTACAATGCTATATAGATAGTGACTGGGCAAATCATATGCAGGACAGAAAATCAAACTCAGTGTTTGTGATATTGTTTGCCGGCACTGTAATTGGATGGAAATCCAGAAAACAACCTTCAGTAGCACTGTCAACTGCTGAAGCTGAATTCATAGCATTGTCCGAGGCATATTCTGAGATAACCTGGTCTGTTCAATTGCGAAGGAATGTACATGTCGATGTACAAGGAGCTGTACCAGTATTTGAAGACAATGTTGCATGTATAAAAAATGGCAACGGGAGAACGTATCGGAAGCAGAAGTAAACATGTAGATATAAAATATTGTAACGTCAGGGAGTCTGTAAAGGATAAACTGATAAAGTTACAGCATTGTTCCACTGACAATATAGCTGATATGTTAACTAAGCCTTTAAACGCAGGCAAGCATCAAGAGTATGTAAAAGCATTTGGGTTAACAGCTGTTCAGCTTTAAATGGGAGGAGTGTCAAGGTGATGATTTAAGAGCTGACCAGCTGATGCAATGATAGGAATGAGTCAGCAGGGTCTTTGGCTGTTGTCTCTTTAGGAGCCTGTGTAAAAAAGGGGAGGCTCTGCTAGTGTGTCTTTTTCTTTCTTTTCCCTTTCCTGCTGTATTTGCTGTTTGTTGGATTCTGCTCGTAGCACGTGTATGTATATTGTTCCTAGTGATACTTGTATAGCATTGTAGATATTGTAGATAAGCCACCATTTGTTACAAACCACTGTTGGCTGTGTCTGCTCCTGGGTTGTCGCACACGATAGGACTGTGCGTGCTCTGATATGGACACTAGCCATTCAGATACAAAACAGTGCAATAAATATACATGTAAATCACAGAGGTTTTACAATCTAGATTTGCACATATACAAGAATATCTTGTATAAACAACATCCCTTTATTCAGTAGATATTCAATGATGAATATCTTGGGCCCACTGGGAAAAACATCCTCATACCTCTTCAGTTACTCCTGTAATTCCTTCTTTGTGAAGGGTGACCCCAACATCCTGCACAGACAATTCTTGGTCCTTCAAGATCTTGGCAAGGATCTTGCGCTCCAATGTGCGTAGTTGCTCCTGTAATTCTTCATGCTGGACAAAAGGTTTTCCAGTTTTATCCTCTCTAGATCGGGACAGGAATTGGCTAAACCATGTCGGAAACTGAATTTCCATCTAAATCATTAAGAGAAGAACAGATTTGATGAACAGCTTATTCCTCCATCCCCACTCTTTGTATCATGTCTGGTTTTCTATCAAATGAGATAGCAAGTGTATTGTCCATTTCAGAAGAATCTCTGAATTATTGTGGTTTTTTTTTTAAAAAGAACAGATCCTCCTTAATCTGATACCTTCTGAAATATGTTTAGTCTCATCATCTGTAGGAAATGTCTTTGTTGACTGGGGATGTTGTCATGAATGGATTTTTTGATAATTTTTACAGTGATGGCTACTGTAACTCACTGCAGATTTAGTTAAAATGGTCTTAAAACCCAGGCACTCTAGAAAGTTTCCTAAATTTACCTGAGGAATTTCTTGCCTTTTCTGTAATACTGTTGAAGACCCGGCTGATCTATAAAATGTGGGCATGGCCTGTTCAGTTTATACTAACGGAGATGGAATGGCATCTTAAATTACCAGAGAGTACAGAGAAATGAGGCGGGCATAGAGGGGGCAGGACCACAAGTGGAAGAATCTTTGAAACAAATTGATTTAAAAGTGGGAAACATATTAGGAAACTCACATCTTCTCGCATTTCCTTGATCTGCCCTGGAAGAGATTTCACTTGTCTTGACAAGGCCTTCTGATCAGAACCCAAAGTCACAAGTTCTTTTTTCAGATTTGATAGATGTTCCTTCGACTTATCCATTTCCTTTCGCAAAGTATTCATTAGGCCTTCTTTTGTGGAGCTTTGAAAGAGGAAAAAACAGAACAAATGCTGAGGTGCTACTTATAATCCAATGCAAATAAAAGGTATTTATCCACTTTTTTCAGTTGTGTTTATCAAAAGCTAGTTTAAGAGTATCAACTTTTAAACCTCTTAATCCTCAAATTATCAACAGTTTTCCAAACTGTGCATTTAATCTGTAATAATAATATCCTACACAGTAAATGGAATCCTTGGACAATTGCATATCATAGCAAGACAGCTGTTTGAAATACCCAATTTCAGTTCTGTTAATGAATTTTATGTCAGCTGTCCTGGGTGCTCTTGTTTATTGAAACAGCAAAGCAAAAATGTTTTAAATAAATGCATATAAATGGTATCTAGCTTTTTGTGGATAGGCAATCTACATCTTCCATAGGCTGTTGAACCCCAACTCCCAGGAGCACTGCTTGGATGGTTAACAACCCTGTAATTCAGCAATGTACAGAGATGCATTATCTTAAGTACATAGATACAAAATATGAGCAATCCCCAATTTACTAAAATATTTGGCTATGAACATATTTCTTTTGCAAAGAATTGGAGGACATACTCCCTTTTAAAAAAGAATTCTAAATTTCCATGTACTATTTTATTGCATGTATATTCTTACAACACTGCTTAGTAAACATAGCACAGAAACAAAAGTACCCTGCACAGATGTGATAAAATGTTCCTGCTTACTGTGCCTTCTTGAAATGATCTGAGGAATGGTAACTGCACAGGCAGAAAAGTTAAGTCAGACCTCCGTTAAAATAATCATCTAATAATCATTATCCTAAAATAATGGTTTGTGTAGAAATGTACTGAATTTTATGAGTGCTAAAAATGCTTTTATAGAATATCAATTCCTGCAAGGTATAAGAACATCCATGACTACTTTGTTCCTTTTCACCAGAAATAGGAACATGATTTGCTCATGGTGCTCGAATTACCTTTCCCACTGAGCTGTCTTCTCAAGCATCCGGGTCTCCACCTGCTGTGGGAGAAACACCAGTCAGCACAGGTAAGATTTTGTATCAGTTATGAGTTTTCAAGACTCTTAGAAATCTTAGGCAGATGATTAAAAGCCAAAATGAAGTAAAACAAAAAACAGTAAAAAAAACAAGAAAGCGGGGGGGATGAGTGATTGATCTTTTAGCTAGTTTTGCACCAATTCATATTCCTAAATGACTTATAGGACAACTTCCTGATATGCACACTTTTTAGATACAGGTTATCAAAAATAGATTATTGTTGCATTTGAGAAGGAGCTAGCAAATGCTAGTTACCCACCCAGTAAGACTAGACTCTCTAGAGGTTTAGGCTAAACCAGGAATAGGCTAAACCTGAAGTTTTGGCGCCTCAGACTATGAGCCCCATCTCCATATTGCACAGACCCTAGAGCAGCCTCCTGGTTTAATGGTTGAACATTTGCACTATGGTAAGCTACCAAAAGTCTGTTTAAATTATGGTAGAGTAGAACTGCAATGTCTGATGAGCTTCTAGTTAGGGTTCCAATACATATTTTGAGATTGGAGCTTAACATTCTTTGAGAAATTAGTGGCTATGTTTCACAATAATTCAAGTTTTTACAGTGCACCTTCCCTTTAGACCTAACTGGCCTCCTTGTTCTCTGACCTGGAGATGAAGATCTATGTCTGAGTGAAGCTTCTCTCTCATGGCTGACTCTTGCTGAGTCATCATCTCATTCAAAAGCACCAGGGTATTCTCATGTGACAGAGTGGCACCTTCTGTGTTCTTTCTTTTTTGGAATTCTACTATAGAAGCTGCAGTTTCCAGGGTCTCAAAACGTCTTTCCAGAGCCTGGAGCTGAGACAAAATCTGTTGCTGGGCCTTTTAATCAAGAGAAAAAAAGAATAAAATGCTGTTCTCATCCATAGTTTAACAATCTCCAGATTTATACATATAATCTCACTGATTTATACATATTCTTGTTTGATATTGATATCATACTGCACATTGTTATTGCTTATTGAAGGTGCATTAAATAGTTAAAATTTGTGGGATATCCTTGTAGATCAAATCAATATTATAAATTGTAAATAGAAGGATTTGAAGTTCAGATTATATTCTTTGGCTAAGACCATGGCAAAAACAATATTCAAACTTGGGGTCTCCTAAGTTATTTTTTTTAACCATTACACATCACCTTTCAGTCTGAAAGAATATACCAAAATAACTAAGCTGGTTAAGTGTCTATGTTACAATTATGACTTAGATGGAGAAATCTTTCTGATTCCTCTTAAAACACTGTCCATCTTCAGCAAATGTGAGAATTTTGCAATAGTTGATATCTAACATGACTATTCTCTACAAACACTCCTCTAAATCCATATAATACACACCTCAGAAAATATAGCAGTCTCTCCCATTTCATGGTCCTTCTTTGTGCCAGAAGGAAATAATTTCACTGTTCCCCAAGGAAACATAGGAGGTTGGAGCCCAAAGGGATAAAAATACCAGGCACCTAAAATAATTAGAAAAAAACATCAAGTAAAAAAATGATAATTGCAGAGTATATTCCAGAAGATTCCAAACAGGTTGGATGAGGGCTGGCAGACTGTATTCAATGAAACTCAAGTTATTGATCTCATAATTGTATAGTTCAGTGTTACACTCTGTATTTTTCAAGTTCTTGTTTGTTCAAACATAAGCTGATTTTAGGACCATGCCTTCAGAAAGGTATAACACGGATATATTTCTAGAAGAGAATAATTAGAAAAAGATCAGATACTGAAATAACTAATCCTGTCACCAGCAACAACATAAAGCTCCTTTTACTATCATACTGCTGATATACCATACATGCTGGCTAGGGAATTCTGGGAGTTGAAGTCCCTGCAGGTTAAGAAACACTGCTATATGAATGTAATTCTTCAAAGCCATTTTTAAAATTATATTTATACTTTTCTGGTCTTCCAAGGAAAGTGATTCTAGACATTAGATGTAGCTCCTCAAGAGTTATTGTAGATATTATCTGATCAAATGGAGCTGTGACTGCAATTGGAAAGGAGATACAACATAGAAGGAAGTAGCCATAGTATAGCACTCCTAAAAAAGAGATACCTTCAATAGTGATAGCACCAACCACTCTGGGAGGAAAAGCAGAATTCAGTCCTTCTGAGTTCAGCTTCCAGTTGTATCTGGAAATACCAAAGCCCTATAATTCTTAAGAAATTGGCCCAGATTCCTTCCACAATATTTTCTCCGTTGGATCCTCAGACTCATTCCCACATGTCTCTCTCAAAGAAGACGCCAACAACTTTTTTTTAAAAAGGGCTAGTCTTTTAAAAGTCAGCTTTAATACTTGATAGAATGAAGATATTATCAGACCCCGATATTTGATTCGTATTGTTGCAGAATAGCATTAGTTACAACATTGTTAACCATGTTTCTGAAGCTAAGCCAAGAATCTCTACGCTTTTTATCTCCAAGACTGGCAAGGTTTTGAACTTACTCGATTCCAATCTGAACCAATAAAACAGTTGTATCTCATTCACTGCTTGAGTGGTACAATTTTTTTTTATAGAGCAAGCAATTTTTAAAAGAAAAAAATAGGAGTACGTTAGAAAAAAGCTGTTTCCCTTCCCACATTTTTCCTTCCTTCCTCAACAGTTGCATAATGTAAGGCAAAAGTCTGCAGAAAGAATCACATGATGAAACGTAAGATCTACAAGAATACTACTTTCAAGGTGATGTCATCTCATACTTTCTAAGACAGAGGTCCCCAACCTTTTGGGCACCAGGGACCGGTCCCATGGAGAAAGGTTTTTCTGCGGATCGGAGAGTGCGTGGTTTTGCATGCTGCCTGCATCCCATGGATAGGACTTTGCTTGTTTGTGCAGACCAGTTGCTGGCATGCCACGAACTGGTATCGGTCCACAGACCGATGGTTCGGGACTCCTGTTCTAAGAGGTACAGAAAAAGGACAGACAAAGGCAAACTTGAAACTCACCATAACCAACAGAGCTCAGGAGCAAAAGCAGAAGCATAAACAACAGTATCTTCTTCAACACTGGATAGCTCCTGGGCACCAAACAACAGGAGAGAGAGAACAAACTGTTAACACAAGGCAAAATCACGCATTATAAGCAGAGTAGTGCACCTCAGCTTGCCTATAAAAATAGAACATGTGAAGTGAACCACAATGAAGTGAGGTTTACACCCCAACTTCATATTATTGGCATGATGAAGTCATATCAAATATAAGTGCTGCAGTTAATACTGGAAAGTAATCAAAACAGATAGATCTGGTTCACATATTGTACAGTGTTGTTTACTTAACCATACATATAATATACTAAGTTGTAAGCCACAGATTATATCTGCTAAACCAATGTGCAATGCGTTTAAGTAACTATAGTCTGTTTGTGTTGTTTTGACTTAAAGTGTGTTGGGTAAACTCAGCTATGGTTTGTAAACTATCGCTACATGGAATATGATTCAGTATTATATTAATCCAGCCAATCATGGTTTAATTGAATGGTGAAAAATTATTTAGCAAAATGTTTTAGCCCAATCATCAACCACAGTAGAATTGAGCCACTTCAAACTTTTAAGTCCATCCCATAGCTCTTAAGCATCTGCTGTTGGTTTGCATATGATAAGCATCTAGTTGGTAAGACAGTTATTAAGTGAAACAGGGCTGTAACAGAAAAACACACACACATTCTAAAATGCTGGTGAATTTGGGGATACACCAAGCTTTGCACCTGCAGGAATTTCTTCTATTTCCCTCTTTTTCAGCTACTTTTCCAGTCCATCCAGGAATCAAAGTTAGCCACATTTCTTTATATTTCAAATTCTATTCCCACTAACCGTGTTAAAATGAAGACATCCAGGAGAGAGGCTGTGGTTGTTAGACGATACCACATGGTCCCAATCCACCAGTATAACAAGCCAAAGAACCGTCCTGCAAAAAACCCAGAACAGCTTTTAAAAGAGCAACAGCTCAGCTTTCTTTCCATCTCTTCTCTTCCTCTACAGCACAATTTCTCAGAAGCCATACTTGCACATTCAATAGCAGAAAAGGTGATTTTAAAAAAACCACAAGATATTAATTACACATACTGTATATGCCCCTTGACTCCCAATGACTCTGGACAGTTTATAAATTATTCAAAACATTAAATAAAAATTTTCCAAGTTGAACTGCATTCTTGGACAAATTAATTTCAAAGAATGAATCTGAAGGATTAGAATTTTTACAGGTACTTGATTCTAAGCCTCTGGTTATCTCTATATCCCCTCCAAATGAACATTTTCAGCATTATTTTGAAGAAGTCCATATCAGATAACTTAGTACTGAAAATGCAATACAGAGACATAAACTCTGTTATATAGCTTCCTTTGTTAACTTGTGTAATAACTACTGTAATCAAATTTCTAACAACTCTTTTCCGTTTACCTGGGGCTGTAAGCACCAGCCAAAGAATGGAGCCTACTTTGGAAAAGACACTCTTGAACCCCAAACTGGATGTATTCTGGTCCATGGAAGAACCACCTGCATGAAGCAGAAGATAGTCAGCTAACAAGTCATCATTTTTTCCCCTTTCTCTGAACACTTCCACACATCTGTTTGCCCCAGTATGATAATGGCCCACGAACCATTTCTAGGGATATGTCTATATCTTACAACTTCTGTTTCAACATCCACCTTACGTTAAGCCTAACAACAAGTTAAGGTGCTCTTAAAGTAGTGATTTCCCCCACAATTCACCTCAAGGCATTGCATGCAGTTAATAGAGGGCACAGCTGATGCATATTCCATGGTCTGTGGCAAGAACGAAGGTGAATATACGTGGCCCAGGATAATGTTGCAGGATCCGATCTGGATCAGTCACTAGGAGCAGAGATTTAGCCTTCCGAGCTTTCAAACTCATGCTGGAATCCATCCTCAGGGAACTTCTCCCTAGCAGAGTGTGTGCTTTGGGCTATTCTGTGTGTGGTGTAAATATAAATATATATATGCACCATATAAGTACCACACACAGAGTAGCCCAAAGCACACACTCTGCTAGTTCCCTGAGGATGGATTCCAGCACAAGTCCGAAAGCTAAACTCTGGTCCTGATGACTGACCCAGATTGGATCCTGTGGTAAGAATCTTATATCTTCAGTTGCTTCTAGCAGTTTCCTGTGGGGCCACACCCCTTTTCTTTGGCCCTGATTTCTTTGCTCATACTGAAGTCCTGAAGTCTGCAGTGTTAAATTTCATTGGACAGTTGACCACTCATCACACTGCCACACGCACATATTTTGACTACCCAAAGTTTCTGGAGGCTTAAATAAAAATGAAACTGCATAATTTAGTATTAGAGGGCTTCATGTGATCTTTCTTTCTTTCTTTCTTTCTTTCTTTCTTTCTTTCTTTCTTTCTTTCTTCCTTCCTTCCTTCCTTCTTTCCTTTCTTCCTTCCCCTCCCCTCCCCTCCCCTCCCTTCCCTTCCCTTCCGGTCTGCTGTGTGCACATTAATCTCCAGAATCAAACATAAAGTGTTGCATTTGGCACATCAGCTTTGGATTAGTAAGTCAGTGAGTTGACTGGTCTACCTGCTGTGATGCCACACCTCAAAACCAAGTGTGTAATGGAACATTGGTTTTTGTAAGTAAAAGTCACATACACGAGATGGGCAACTATATAAATTCAATCAATCAATCACAGCAGCAACAGAGCATTCCTACTGCCTATTAAGAAACCAAATAAGGGAACAGAAATGCAGTGGAGAGGTACTATTGAAACAATCAGTCATGCCACACTTCAAGGTTCACAGGGAGGATTAACTCTGTACTGTTTTGGAGGCTGAGTTAGTCTGACATATGAAAGCAGGTTGTAGCCATGGTTGTTAATCTTTCCCCTGTATAAATTAAACTTATTCTTTGCCAACTGTATGGAGATGGTAAGTATTGACTACTGTCTCTGGATTACCAGTCTGCAGGTCAGTTTTACAACAGTTGTTTTTTAAAAAACAAACTAAAAATGAATATATAACTTCCTTATTTTTTTTTTAAAAAAACTATCAGACAAGCAATTTCCTGAGTGATGAATGGAGTAACAAGGACCTGCGGTGGAACCAAAAATCAGGTTTTAAGTATGCACAGCTTTCAGGCAAACTTCAATACGGGCAGTTCAAGGAGTTCCTCAGGCCTTTTGTTAGCTGATGGCTACCATTTTTAGCTGTAAATGATGTTAACGAATTCTATCCCCAAATTTTTCCTCCAGGAGTCCCGTCTGATTGCTTAGGCAAATAGCATTTCCTGATACCTGCATAGTCATCCTCAGAGGAATAACCAGATGAAGAACCATAGATGTCGTATGTCTTCCTATCTCCTAATCCATTGATTTTCTTACTGGACTCGATGCCTCCCGTACCTCTTCTCCTTCTCAATGAAAGATCCTCACCTGACATTACAAAATTTATTTTAAAAATAAACTCATTTTTTTATACATTTCCCAGCAAAAGCTTGTATGAAACTAGATACCATCGACCTTAGACAAGCTCAAATGAAGCATATCATTTAGTGAAAATTGCAGGAGAGTTTAAGATTAATGCCCTTGTGCCTTGAGTATATTTTTGGAATTCTACCCTCCCCTCCATGTCAATGTTTAATAACTGTTGTTAATGATACAGGTGATGGATTATATCATCTTCAAGAGCTACAATATTTTATATTAATTGGGTGGATATTTGAGAATTTCCACCAATCAGCATCCCCTGAACAGTCTTTCTTTTGCTGGATTTTCAGCACATGTCCCAACCCAATTCTCCCTCAGTTGGCTTTAATACTGTCTGGCATTCAAAATCCCACTGATTAATCCAGAGAAAACCATACAGGGCCTTTCAGGTATTGCTGTACTTCAACTTTCATCAGCCAGAACTAGTATTCCCACATGATTTGGCTGATATCCAATTGGAAAAAAATGATACAATGTCAGAAGTATATTGCCAGCATACAAGAAATAAATAATGAATGAACTCTCTCAAATCTCCTGGATAAATAGTGTAAATCACAACAAAGGACCCTGAGAGATCTCAAAGGCCAACAGATTTACTCCAAATGTTGTCTTCCAAGAGCATCAAATTGGAAATAGTTGGTCCAAGTCCCATGTAGGCCAGATGATGCAGAAGAATATTCTGACTTGGATATGAATTATGCCAACTACAGACCAGAGTTAATTGAAAGATTGGACAACAGGTGAAAAACAGTTGTACAACAGATTTGTACAATGACTAGAGTCAATAAGAATGAAAAGCTTATGTGGTCCTACAGATGTTGCAGATGCCAATTCTCATCAGCCCCAACTGGAATTGCTAGTCTAATTCAAAAACATCTGAAGGGCTTTGAGTTCCCAATTTGTTGCTTTGCAACTTATATTAATTTCTCCCAAGTAAGTATCCTACATATATTTTAGGACATGCAAGCTACAGAACATTTCAGAGAAATACTTACTCCAATAAGAACTGCTTTCCAATGGCTCATCAAAGGCCGCACTAGTTTTAAGAGAAAATCCTTTGTCATCAGTCAGATAAGACTCACTAATTACAGACTCACTGTAGTAGGAGGTAGTGTGGGGAGTAGAACTGATCCCTAGGCTAGGTGCAGGAGAGATACGTTTCACGCTGCTTGGTTTCCTTCTCAGAGTTCGGCTGCAGGAAAAGAAACCAGAAACGGCATATTGATAAGATAGTACATGTTAGATGAAGAATGGGCAAATGCATATGCATTTGTACACATGCATAAGTGCTCCTATTTAGAAATAGCACTAATAAACTCCTACCACTTAATAGAATCCACACCCCTAAGAGTAGAATTGAATGGGAAGGAGATAAGAAGAAAGAAAAGCCATCTTCTCCTAAGATATTTTAAGTTGGAACTTGATCACTCTAAACAAGTGGAGAAAATATCTTGTGGTACAAGGCTCAAATATAATTTGGATTTCTGGAAATTGCCATCCCATTGCATGTGGATGAGGCTGGATTGGAAAAGGTTACAGTGATGTAACAACTACATCTTTCTTTACCTAATGAGTTCTAACATAATTTCCTTTTAGCCTGCTTTGTATTTTGCCTTGTTTAATTCCAGGGTTGTAGTACTCTCTGTCAGTTCACCCAAACTACATATTGGGGGTGGGTGGGTTTCCACATAGCCACATGCAACTTCATTTATGGAACAGAACAACTGTAATAGGTTGGGCAAGTGAGGCCATTTCCTGTCCATGAACACTTTACAGCAAATTTCCCAACTGGGTCCCTTCAAATATGCTGAGACCAAAATTCCCAACAAGAAGATCCCAGTTTAGGAAACACTGCTCTATATTATAGCTAGGAGCTCAAGAAATAGCCAGTGAGGTGTTCATGCTTTTATAATGATTTGAACTGTGGTAATATGTGTCTGCCAGTGATTAATTTATAACACTATTCACTCGACTGGGGGCAGAACACAAGGATATAAGCTGTTGTGCCCCCTTATTTTTGGCCGTGAATGCAGGGTTGCCTGTTAGGATCGCAACCAAAGCCTTGGTTCAAGTCATACACCAAAAATACTACACAATATTTCTTTCTAGGAATGCATCTTTAATGATTTCACATTCCATAAACAGTAGTATACTGGGTTCCCTTTTGTGGTTATCTTGTTTCCTTATTAATTGTAAAGCCATTATTTTGTATTCGGAGTTTTCTGCTATGTAGCTGCATACGCAGTATTTGAGCAACATTCTACATAAGATTTATATAATGTTGTAGCTCCTGCTCTTTGCAAGAGACCAATGACTCATTGTAACCTGCTAGCTTTGGAATTAATAAAACAATCATTTGGATGCTCTCCAAACATTGGCATTTTTGGGGTGAATTTTCTACCACACTCCAAGGAGAGAATAAAATAACACAAGCAGCTTTTTCTGTGTATAACATTTTTCTTTAAAGTTCATGGGTATGGAGGAAGTGGGAGTAATACAGACAGGTGGTAACATCCTTTTCATCCACCCACACTTCTTTAACCAAGCGGAGACAATGTACCAACAGAGAGAATACTCAGTCTACTCTTTTTCCTGCCTGCTTATTCTGCAGCAACTATTGATTTCCAATGTGGTTAGCAGCTGTTTATGAGGAAGCAAGAAACAGAGCTGAAAAGGTTAAGTACAACTCTGGCAAATCAGATCAAAGGGAAATCTTGCCATTAGTGGTAAACAGAAGCCTGAAAGAAGGCTGTGGGGGCAATGCTCTCTTGGTTGATTGTTCAAAAGTCAGATACGATTTGCTCCAGAGATAGCAATATTTTTCCTCCTACAAATTAGTTTTTAAAAGTGAATATTTTTCCACCTATAAGTACTGCAGCAGTGTGCAGGCAGTGATGTTACTAGGCTGGACAAAGTCAAAATCTTTGATCCCTCTTCTCATTTTTTTAGGGGAGAGTGCTGTATTATTTTTAATGATGCACTAGGTTTCCTAGAGTCCTTTTTTAAGGTCACTCTACGCGAGACCTCTCTCCCAAAAATTGCAGCTCAGAATTTTTTCAGGGCTATTCTGAACATTAGTGGGGCTGCAAAAATGGGTTTTGAAGGGTGACAAGAGGTTCACAGGCTGCTTATTTTCCAGTTTCTCCTAAGAAGCAATTACAATTCCCAACTGATGGAGGGGTGGGAAGGATTGAGCCTCTCCCCCCCCCATGTTTCATTATGGCTACTTGTAAGAAAAGCAAGTATTTGTGCATTTTTGTACTAAAACTAGCCCTATGAGACCAAATTTGGCTTCTCCCCATGGCACCAACTCTCTTCTGTGCCTCTATCTACAGCTCTATTTATACAACCAAACATTTATTTATGGTTTTCTTTTGTCATTAGTTGTTCCCAGCAAGAAAATTCTAGACTATGACAAAGAAATTGCCTGCACTCTCTACAAATAATGTAACATTTTCATGAGAAAATATTTTTCTCCATTTACAATTCCCATTGCTATTTCAAATAGGACATAGTGGCATGAACAAGGGGCCATAATGTATAATAATCAATTCTTGTGGTATCAGCAATGATGATTAATTTAAGTCCCCTGCTGTAACATTTACAATGTTTATATATTTCTTTTTCCTTTCTCTTTTTAAAGAATCAAAGTATCTAATGGGAATGGGAGCTTTCCAGCTGCTCTAATGCAGCCTTCTCTATTCTGATGACTACAGGAGTGCTGGCTACAACTCCCACAATTCCAGGCAGACCAACTACAGATTGAATTAAATGGAAATTAAGGAATGGTATACCATCCAACCAGATTGGAGAAAACTGATTTAAAAAAGAAACTTGCAGATTAAAGTCAATTACATACTGGCAATTTGTTGTACTATGACTACTGTACTGAAATGGGTTACGAAGTGCCAGACGTAAAAAAAAAAAAAATCTTGAAAAGTCTTAAAACACCCATTATTTGTAAATATAAAAGGGACAAAGCAAATTGAGAAGCTACTTGGTGCAATCTTTAATGATGCACTTTGTTCTAGTTAGAGCCAGATTCGTCCTTGCTGCTACTTCACAATCCGATCATAACAGCTACAATTAACACAAGATAAATCTTCAGTACTGTACAGGAAAATCTCTTTATAAAGAGTGAGACAGAATTGTATAAATACAAAAATCAAAGCCTATTAAAATTAAATTTGTGAATTCAATCTGAGCTTAATTGAGTTCTATATTAATACTGAGACAACTATGAATATACTACAGTGCAAAATAGCTCTTCCTATTTCCACTTCATGCCACAGACCCTTCTCTATTCTATTGAATTTTAAATATTTTGAATTATAGTACTAATAATTATGGGAATTGTATCTGACATTGATAATGGATAACAAGTTGGAGATAATTGGGGTAAACAATCATATTCAAATTATGTAAAGCAACAATAATGAATTAATTTATCACTCAAAAGATGAAGAAATCCTGTAACTGATACACAGCATAGATGAGGGAATCTCCCTCTTCCTTCATTCTGACTTACCTGTTTGAATTCTCTATAAAGAGAGGCTGAGGTCCACTTAACAGAGAACTTCCTCCACTGATCCTATTGTTGCCATTATCCTCACTTTGATAATTGCGGTAAGTCCCACTAATGCGTTGGCTTCGTCGAGACATGACCAAAAAAGAGCTGCCACCACCCTTGTGTCAAGATTCTTAGAGGAAGCAACACAAAGAAGAAAACATCAGGACTTACATTAGATATAAGTATTCTGAAGATGGTTTATGATTGAACAGTTTTACTGAGTCCAGAAGAAAAGTTTACAAAGGCTAGCATTCTTTCTCCTATTGGTCAAGCCAATTTCTCTATAAAGGCTACCTAAATGAACTAGGAACTGGAATCTTGTTATTGCTCATGTTCCACTTTTCTGATCTGGACTTCTGAATCCTTAGCAAAACTCAGTTCCAAGAATCCCAGTAACCTGTTTCAAAGTGTACCATTATTCTAATGTATATTGCTCTTAGGTAGGGAAGTTCCCTTTATTTGAAGTAACTAATCTATATATTACTAAAACTCTTGACATTTAACTAGGCAAATTGGTGAGTCATAAGGCAACATTTTTTGAGCCAACTTACCTCAAATAGGCTAACTTACAGAAAGTGTCCAATATCTGCGACCTATGTGTTTTGAGGGAATGAAATTTGGGGAAATTGTGGCTGCTTCAGTGCTACTGGCTGCTACTGAGCTGCAACTGTGGTCACATGACTTTCATTTTCAACATCATGTGACAGTTTCCCAGCCAGTCTTGCAATTCCTCACTCCCCCACCCAGCAGCAGACACTTATCTGTGGAAAGGAAGGGCTCCATATACCCTTCCTAGCACATGCTACCGTCCTGCAGGCTCAACCTGTGCCATCCCCCTGCGTGTCTTCTTCAACCTGCATCACCCGCTGTGTGTTCCGAGATCCATGCAGCACCTCTTGGGCACCCCCATAGCCCACACACCTTCCCAACCCTAACCCTAACCCTTTTGTCGTCTCCAGGCACCCCCCAGGCAACCTTCGCAACCCATGCCATAGCCCCACACACTATGCCTGATTGCTGAGGCACCTCTCACACATGGTTATCCCCTTACATGCTTCATGACACATGCACACGCTCAAACACTGCACCCTTCTTGATTCACGGGGCATTTCTTACACACTCCCATGACCCCAATGCACAATTGCATAGGTACCTTTCCCAATCTACCCTATCCACCCATGCACCCTTGCTGACCAGCGTGGCATCTCTGGTGCACACCCACATAAGTTCCTAATCTGCATGACACCTCTCACACACTTTCATATATAATTCCTTACCTGCAGCCCCTCACCCTCCCACACACCCTCACTCATTCCTACACCTTGCAACAGCCACTTACTAGCCTGCTGGACTTGCAACTTCCTGTTGGTTTTCCCATTGACTTTCTCTCTGTAAGCCTCTTGCAAGCAAAATAAATGGGGGACCTGGCAAAAATCCTTGGGAGGGAAAGGAGGGAGGGAGGGAGGGAGGGAGGGAGGAAGTTTTCTGATGCTCTCTGACAACTTCCCACAAGGAGATTCACTAGGAAAGCCAGCAGGAAATCAGAAATTGCTCCCATTCCCACTGCTTTTTTGCTCACCTCTAGTCATTCGGTTTCTCTGTTTAGGTAAGAAAATATCTCTGAAACAATGACACAGCAGGGCATGGATTGTCTAGTAGCTACTAAGTCTGTGAAGAGCCATTTTGGTGTCATGGTTAAGGTATCAGACTAGAAACTGGGAGACCATAAGTTCTAGACTTGCCTTAGGCAAGAAGCTAGCTGAGCAACTTTGGACCAGTTACTGACTCTCAGCCCTAAGGAGCAAGTAATGATACACCATTACCGAAATCTTGCCCAGAAAAGTGTAGGGACTAGTCCAGACAGTCACCAAGAGTCAATACTGACTTGAAGGAAAAATAACCCATACAACTTCAGACTATGCAAATAATTTGAAAGACATGATTTAAAAAATGTGATAGAGCCAATGAAGTAACTTTTTTTGAAATACCAAGGCAAGCACATCTTTGCAAGACCTGAGTGACTACTTCAAATATTGTCTCAGTGCCTTCCTTTTTGGTAAATAAACAATAGTAACAACAGAAACAAAAATAATGGCAAACTACTTCAGTACAATCACCAAGAAACTAGCATAACAAACCAATATTTGTCTACATTTATCAGGATCTAAGCTTGATTGGAGGATTTATTTTTCTTCATTTCTTTTTTCTGTCAGAAGGCATTGGGGACTAATACCCAATGCTCTTGCACTGAGTTACATTGCAGGGTCACCTTGCAACTGCCACTGGCATGTGAGCTCAATTTCTAGCCTGCTGACAGATTCATGAGATACTCCCATCAGAGCATCATGAACAAAATGCATCTTGGCTGGAAACAGTAGAGCTTTTGGGCAAGGCAGAATACAGTACATATCCCAGCCAAGACACGGCTGGTCTGGAACGGAGTCAAGTACCACCCCCAGCAGCAAAAGCAACAACTCTATTTATACAGCATCAGCCACTCTGCAGATTTGCCTGCTGATGGGAAAAAACCCAAATAGCAGAAGGTCTGACCTTGTGCCTATCTTTCACTTCTTAGCTCCTTATACAGTTAAAAAACCTCCCTCCCTGCTCATTGCCATAGGCAAATGAAGTCAGAAGTTTGTTCGCTAGCAATTGTTTATCAACATTTACATCATTAATACTCTAATTATATTTCTATCATGCCTCAGCCTGCATTTCTACTCTTACAACACAACTGTTCTCCTGGGAAATGTTTCCAATGTTCAGCAAGTCATATGACATGCATGTACAGGAGGGTTTCCCTTGCTTAATCATAAGCCATGCTGCTGCCATTCTCCACATCCCCTCCTGTTCTTCATTATTCTCAGCACTCTACCTGGATTGCAAAAGTCCACACTAATTCTCAACCTTGGCATCTTGGAGATGTGTGGATTTCAATTAGGAAATTCTGGGAGTTAAAGTCCACACATCTTCAAGTTGCTACGGCTGAGAAACATTGCTTTGGACCATCACTATATCAAGACTCTTGAGTTATTCTTCTCTGCTGCACTAGTGGTGGTCAGGATTTTGTAGCCCAAATGTAGTAGCTAATTGTTAGTAGCTAGTAGCTATAATTATAGCTATAATTGTTGTTATAGCACATAATCCTTCTCATAATTTTAACCCCCCCCCCAAATATGTAGGCAGCAAAGAACAAAATCAAAGAAAAATTGTACCAAATTCCCAAGAGTAAAAGAAAGTACTAATGCCTCTTTTCATCTCAATTAAGATGCACACTTATCCCTAGGCAACTCAACTGCAATCAAATATGTTACCCCAGGAGACAAATTGACCTCCTTTCCTTCACATCTTTCAGATCTGTTCTTCTCCCCCTCTCCCCTTAACTTTTATGCTTCAACCTCTGAGAAAGAAAACTACTGAGGGCCTATGGAGCAAAAACTGCTCTACTGTTTTCAACAGTAAAGTCAATTTGCTAAAATAGAACATTTTAAAGAAGACAAATTTGAGAGAAAGTGTAGTATAGTGTTCAGAAATTCAGACTGCATTTGGATTCTGTCTTGTATTCACAGGGTGGTGTCAAGCTGCTCCCACTTTCAATTTTGAACCCACCCACCCCCATATAGGAATAATAGTCCTCATCTGTTTTAGCACTTGAGCAATGCCATGTGCATTTTTTGGTCTAAAAAGAAAACAGGTTATGTGGTTTGGGAATGCAGAGTTAAAATTGCAAAAATCAGCATATCAGAAAAATATGAATATTTTTCACTGAGACTACATCATAGGGTTCTTTTGAGAGGTGAAAATCAGTGGGGTAAAAGTGATATGCAATATGTCACCACTAATCTCCTGGGAGTTTCATAACACTAAATAGAATAAATATCCCACATTTTCTTTCACTGGCTTAAACAGTACACAGGATTATTTCCCTGCATTTCCCTAAAAACAAAGTAATTCTTTCCCTCACAACAAGAATCCGGCAAAATAGGTTAGACTAGTGACTGAGTTGTAAATGAGCCAAGATCATTTAAGAGGAATTTGAATCTAGGTCTCTTTCGGGTAGAATTTCCAAATTAGGAGGCAAGTGTTTTCCTCCCACCAGCAAATTCTCCCTCCTTCTCTTTATAAACATGTCTAGAACTATTCATTTAACCCCATTCCTCGCTACTTCATAACTATAATTTTAACCACTTCTCAATTTACAAATATGAAGAAAGGCCAAGAGGAATGAAGGAAAAGAATGGTTAAGGCAGCAGCAAAACTGTCAAGCACTTTCCGTTGTTTCAGTTACAAATCAAACGTTCTGCCTCTCCTCGATCCACACGGCGGCCTGTCACTTTTCCACTGCAAGCACGTTCGTTGCACAACTTGCAAAATCCACGCAGGGAAACTTGCATAGGATCGGGGCGTATTTGTTTCGCTCGCGGTCTTCCCCCCACCCCTTCCTTTCCCGGTCCCTCCTCTTGATCTCCCATGAAAACTTCCAAGCTGCAGCTCGCCCCGCTTTTTAAGAAGAGCAACAAACGCAGCAACCAACCGCTTGCCGGAAGGAAGCGAAACCAGCGGAGCCTCGCTTTTGAAAAATAAAATAAGCAACCGCATTGCCAGAAAGGTAGAAATGCAGCCGCGATCTTCGAAGACGCCACAAGAAAAATGAGCGGTGGGGAAGACGGACCGCAACAAAACGTGGGACGAGCTCCATCATTCCCAGCCAATATCTCCCTGGACAAGCTCCATCATTCCCAGCCAATATCTCCCTCCCAAGCTCCATCATTCCCAGCCAATATCTCCCTGGGAGCCAATATCTCCCTCCCAAGCTCCATCATTCCCAGCCAATATCTCCCTGGGAGCCAATATCTCCCTCCCAAGCTCCATCATTCCCAGCCAATATCTCCCTCCCAAGCTCCATCATTCCCAGCCAATATCTCCCTCCCTTGTAATCCCTACCAACAATCTGGAAGGGGACGGGGCTGGAAATGGCTCGCCGCCTAGTATGTTTTGCAAACGCGAAAGAGCTCGGACCCCGCCAAGAGCGACGGAGGGTTGGGGGAAGTACCTACAGGGGTTCCCGTGCAGACAGAGGGGCAAAAAGCCAAGGAAGACCCACTCTCGCCAATGCTCTTTTGCCTTTTCCCTTCTTTAAGCGCGCGAAGTTACCTTTTACAACGGCTGCAGAAGAGAGAGACGCAAAAAAAGAACTCCAAACAAAAAGCACGAGCAACCCCCCCCCCCCAGCAGGCGAAGCTGGCGGGCTTTTTAAGGGATTTGATTAATCCCTGGAAATCGCCGTTGCCAACTCGGTCCGCTCGAAGCCTCGGCGAGCGCCCGCGCGCCAACAATAGAGCCTGCCGGGGCTCTCGCCCTCTTCTCCGGTGCCTGCGTGCGCCTGTCAAACCTCACAAGCATGAGCTTATTGGCAGGAGCCGCACCTGACCCGGGTTGTCAGTCATCTGCGACGCCCTGGGCCTATTGGTTGGTTTGAACAAGAAGCGCTCTCGGTTGGTCGCCTTTCCTTTTCCCCCCGCCCTTCCAGTCCGTTTTGTGGATTCGGTTGCCGGATTGCGCAAGAAGAAAAAGCTCCGGGGCGGTATAAACTGCAGCAGGGCTGGCTCCGCCCCCCGGTTAGGCGTGGCATAGAATAGGAAGAAAGGCCGGAAGGCGGGGCGCTCGTTCCCACTTTGGGAGGAGTTGCTCGGCCTGCGGGTGCGGTGCGTGTTGGGTGCACATGAAGAGGGTTAGTTTCAAGCATTGCTGGAACGTGCTGAGACAATCGTGTGTGTGAGTGAGTGAGTGAACGAGTGAATGAACTCTCGCCCGTACATGTTTCCTGCCCGCAAACACCTCGTGTTGTGATATGACAGGTTTACTGACTTTTGTACTGGGGTGTGATGATGAAAGGTGCCCAGTTCTTAGATTTGCTGAGGGCATGTCCTCCCCGCACTGGGTACGTGGAATAAGCCTTGCTACTAAGCCTAAAGTTTACCAGGCAGCAGTGCTAACTACCCTAATGTATGCTAGTGAGACCTGGACAGTGTACAGGAGGCACGTCAGGCAACTGAATTACTTCCACATGACTTGCCTTCGCAGAATTCTGAGGATCCGGTGGCAGGATAAGATACCAGATACAGATGTCCTCTCCAGAGCAGGCCTATCATCAGTTTACACTCTGTTG